AGCTACGTCCTAATAACCCTCCCGTGGAAAAAAGCGTAGAATAAGAACTTAAATTTATGAAGAAGGTTAAAAATAAATTATAAACTTTTATTTATAATTATTAATTAGAACCGGAAGCCAACTATTATAAATTTAAACCCATTATTATATAAATCCTATAATTTACCCTACGGAAAAGTACCTAAAAATACCTAAATAGCTCTCCCATAACGGCTTTATAGAATTTAACCCTCTAATAAAACCCTTAAATAGCCTTATAATATATAACCTTCTAATTGAACCTTCTAAGCGCCCCTATATATAATTGTATACGCTACCCTATAGTATATAACCCTCTAATTAACCTTCTAAGCGCCTCTATATACAGTCGTATAAGATCCTATAGTATATAACCCTCTAATTGAACTTTCTAAACGCTTTTATATATAGTTATATAGGATCCTATAGTATATAACCTCTAATTGAACCTTCTAAACGCTCCCATATATAATCGCATACATTACCTATAGCGTATAACTCTCTAATTAAACTTTCTAAACGCCCTTATATATAATCGTATATGCTACTTATAATATATAACCCTCTAATTAAACCTTTTAAGCGCCCCTATATATAATTGTATATATTACCTATAGCGTATAACCTTCTAATTAAACCTTTTAAGCGCCCTTATATACAATCGTGTATAATACCTTATAGTATATAACTTTCTAATTAAACTTTATAAGCGACCTTATAAACGACCCTATATATAGTTAATTCTTCTTACCTATTTTAATTAATCGTTCCTACTTTGGCTAATTGTTTTTACTTTAGCCGATTGCTTTTACCCTCCCTTATTATATACCCTACGACTGTTAATTTAGGGAAAATACAACCCGACGGTCTAAATCGCAACTTTCGAATTTTCATAAAATTTATTTACATAAGAAATTTTAAAAGTCGATTTACGGCTACCAAACTCAACTCCCCCGTCGCACTTTTATATTAATTTCCCCCAATTAAATTAACTGCCGCGGCTAATATATAAATAAAGTAATAAAATAAATAATTTAAATACTGGGTAAATAAATTACCTTCACCCAATTAAATTGGCCGCCGCGGCTAATATATAAATAAAGTAATAAAGTAATCGATTTAAATACTGGGTAAATAAACTACCTTCCTGCAATTAAATTAGCCGCCGCGGCTAATATATAAATAAAATAAAGGTTGTCAATTTAAATACCGAGTAAGTAAACCACCTTCCTCTAACCAAATTGGCTGCTGCGGCTAATAATAAAATAATCGATTTAAGTGCCGGGTAAGTAAGCTACCTCCCCCTAATTGAATTGGCCGCCGCGGCCAATAATAAAATAATTAATTTAAATACTGGGTAAATAAACCACCTTCCCCCAACTAAATTAGCTGCGGCGGCCAATATATAAATAAAGTAATAAAGTAATCGATTTAAATGTCGGGTAGGTAAACTACCTTCCCCTAACCAAATTAGCTGCCGCGGCCAATATATAAATAAGGTAATAAAGTAGTTGATTAAATAAAGAAATTAATAAAGTAGTAAAGTAATATAATAATAAAATAATAAATAAATAAAGAATAAAAGTATTAAATTCCAATATAAAAGAGAAATTAATAATTTATAAATTATTTTATAATTATACGTATTATATTAAGTAAAATAATAGTAAAATGGAAATATAATAAACTAAATGTTATTTACTTTATTATAATATATAAAAAAATAAATATTTATTAATTTTTATCTATTATTTTAATAACCTTATAGTTTTTTTCTTTCAAGATTTCAAATATTCTTTTTCATTTTTAACTTTCTTATTTTAAAACCGTTATTTTAAGTTTTAAACCCAATAAAATATATAATTAAACTACCCTATATAATTTAAATGATATTATAATTATAAAGAATCTAAAAATATTTTTCATTGAATTTTTTTCCTACCACTGGAAGAGGAAAATATTTATTTGTTTTATTTTAATTTAGAAAAAGAAATTCCCAAGGTAAAACTTTACCTACCCAAAAAAAAACAGTAATAATAAAAATCGAATTAACCACCTCAATAGTATAATACCAATACATTTATTACTAAGTTATAAGACCGTTAATAAAGATAGTTATTTCTTTTATTTATTTACTCCCTTCCCCTCTCTTCTTTCCAAAATTTTCAATACTGTTATTTACAACGCGTATATAATATGAAAAATTTTAAAGACGCGAACTTAGAATAAATTATGCGTAACAATCATGTGTAATATATTACTAGAAATGAAAAAGAACGATTTTTTGAATCTTGACTGTTTTGAACAATATGTATACAATACGAACCTCACACGCCACAGCGCGCGCCACGGTGCGCGCCACGTTGAGCCACGGTGCGCGCCACGTTGAGCCACGCGCGCGTAGGTCGCGTATGGGTCTCGCCCGCGCTTGCGCGGGCGGGCCCAGGTGGGCCCAGGAGGTACGTCCCTTTTATATAGCCCTAATAATCGATACCGATCGATCCACCCCTCAATTGCTCCAGCTTCAGGCAAGAGCAGTGGAAAGTGCAGGTGCGTGCAGCTTCTCGCTGCTTGGACCATCCGTGTCAAACTGAAAATCTGTTCGACTTCTGCTCGGAGGTGGAAGTCCTGCAGCGAACTTGAACTTTTCCACTCTTTAAACTCATTCGGCCAAATTCAATACATCAGTTCAAATTGAGAGGTGCTTATCATGGGCTCCGAATGACACTTGAGGTCTTCATACTTTCAAAGCTCTGAGGAGTGGCTTGACCTCACCCCCGGGTCAATGCTCTTGTTGTCGACAGACATGGAAGGAATGGAACAGCATTGACGAGCAAGGGAAGCTCGAGGTCCCAGCTACCCCCAGCTCCGGTTGCTCCATCAGCTCCATCTACTCCATCCAGAACCCGGCGCCCAATCATCGCCAACTGTCCCTCCCGATTGACCGATTCCCCTTCTGGCAATGCTTCTGACAGACACCCCCAGATACCCCCCTCCCTCGACCGGGACTCTGCCCATCCGACGCTCAATCGAGTCAAGCAACTCGAGACATGCCCCAGCCATCGACTGGCAGGCCATTCCTCACCCAGTTCCAGCGACATCACTCCATCACCTTTCCAGCGCATATCAGCGCCATACATAGCCACCGCTGCGGCCATCTGCTTTCATGGCGGCCAAGGCAGTTCGCAACATCCCGTCGGCCAGGCGCTATCAGTCACTACTTCGACAGCTCCGTGTGGGTGGGAAACGGCTATAGTCACTGACTCAGCGCAGACCCCTTATAAGGCAGCTTAAGGTACGGTAGCATTGTTTCCTGCTACGAGCTCACGTTTAATCGGCCAGGGAGTTACTTGCTGGCTGAAGTTCGGATGCTTGAATCTACCTGCGATGTACCGTCTTGCGAGCCTTTCAGCCCGTTCTGGCCGCTGGGAAATCAGGGACTGTCGAGCCAGTCCTGACACAGCATTTGGGCGCTCAGCCAGGCACCCGTGGCACTAAAGGCAGCTTCAAGTCGCTAGGAAACGCCGGATGCCCATCCAACATTGCCAACGTGGGCTGGAGGTCACAAACAGGAGGTTCGCCATGATCGTTCAAGTCCCCCAACTGGTCGAGGCGGCACCTGAAAGCCCCACTCCAGCTCGAGTCTGGCCTAGGTCATTGGTCCCCTTTGTCCCCCGTCCAGTCGAGCAAGTGCCCGCTGACGCTTTCTTCTGTCCCCCCTCTCCCCCTTGCCCCTGTTGTCCCTGACGACATGCCAAAGCGGGCACTCCATGTCCCTTTTCCTTTCGACTCTATGGCTATCCCGGCCATCTCCCACTTATCGTTACAGCATTTTGAGCATTACAATACATCGGGACTCTTCCACTTGGAACTCAATAGACTCGATGGGGTGCTTGGTATCAAGGTGAGCCATCGGGGGCGATCCCGCTGCGGCACACTTTGGCAGTAGGACAATGACAACGGAGCGAGGCGCCCGCTGGCTGCCCCGTCTTTCTCAGTTGCCAACTGGGCATCGGATTTGGGGTATCGGTGAGGTCGGTAGCTGGCGGTATAGCGTTTGGTGAGAACAGGACCAAGCAGGTACCGCAGCTACAGTACATACACCACCGTTTCCTGATAGGAAAGCGTCCAGGTGCTCCATTGTTCTCTTGTTGCCCCGTCTCCCCGTTTCCTCCGTCTGAGACCCCATCTCGATTACATAGTCAAGATACCCTCGACAGCTTTGCGGTAGCGACAAGCAAAGGTATCCCCAAGATAGGTGCGAATGGGATGTGGGCTGCTTCCGGTCAAACCTAACAAGTACCCTTCAGTGCTTCTTCCTTGTTGCCCCCATTGGCCTCTCAAGCCTCTTTACCCTCCCATATCAGACTCGTCCCATCTCTCATACACGCATACCCTTACCTGACCAAACCTGGAGCTCGAGATACCTACCTCCTGGTCCTTTTCGCACACCCCCCATCCCTTCAATCCACAGCTGCATGTCAGGATTGAGTCGTTTCCATACCCTTTCCATACCGGACCTGGGTTTCTGTTCTCGTTATATGGACGGCGGTTGCTGCTAGCCCCCATCCCGTGCCCATCCATTCGAGTCGATCCCGCTGCCCTGCTTTGGTTTCATTCCTTTATTGTTAAAGGCTCTTACAACCACCGCCGCCACCACACCTCACCGTCTCCCACCTTTCCTCGAACATCTTCTTGTTACACACCTACAACGACCCATAGCTTGAATCCTTTGGCTCCCATGATCAGTACCTGAGAGCAATCCATCCAGATCACCGTCGATTCCGTGGGCGACAGTTGCAAAAGAGAGTCGCATCATAGACTCCGAATCCAAAACACCGATTGAGTAGCATTACTACAATACGATACGATACGCCGCGATACATACGTATCAGCCTTATCAGCAGTTATCGCTCATCTATCCGACCTCCAAAACACCCACTCTCGACGACATCGTATGGTGGGGTACCACGGTATTCAATATGCCGCCTAGGACATCCCTCACTTCTTCGTTCTCGATCACCGACGCCAATAATGAGGTTGTGTGTCCGTTGCGCAACCAAGATGGCTCAAGTTGTCGCAAGCGCTGCATAGGTGTAAGTTGCTCACCTTCAGCCTATCCTAGCTTACACCGCCTACACCGCTGTCAATCAACACATCAGCCGTCACTTACAGCCCTTTCGGTCACTATCGTTGCACCTGCCATGTCACAGATAGGATCAGCTAATGGGTATCATGACATCTAGGAGAAGAGATATCGCTCTATGCAGGAGCACATTCGTCGAGCACACCCGGAGCACTACATCTCCAAGCTCCCTGCCACCGAGGAGAGCTTCTTGCTTATGATCAAGACGCAACCAAACGAACGACCTCAAAACCAGCCAACTTCAGGCCCTTCTACGCATGCAGGTCAGGCTAAGGGACTTTCGCATGCTTATCACAGAGACGGCTCGAGTGCTCCAGGGACACCTCGAAATGGCGAGGAGCAGTATACAGGAGCTGCACTGCTCCCTGCTGCAGCCGCCCTTGCACAGCTACACAACCACAAAATGGAGCAAGGCTGGGAATCAGATAATGTAAGTTGGATGATCTGGGTTTCACTTTTGTATCAGGCTGTCTCTTTCCAAGTCGTTTTCGTTGTGCTAAACGATATCTTGTGCCACAGGACTGGCATTCGGATCACGAAGGGAAGAGAAGGCCGAGGTCATCGATTGAGTTGCCCCCAATACACCTCACAAACGCCGATGTGACGAGCGCACCTTACTCCGGTTATGACTCGGGAAGACCAAGAGAAATTTTACCTTCAATCTTATCAAACTCGCCCCCTGGCCGATCATCAACTCTTCCGCCACTGCATCGGACATTAGGCCCCACTCGCACTCGAAGGCAGTCGATATCCAAACGAGGCCACCAAAGCAAGAGATCCAAAGGTGCTACATCTGAATGGCTTCGTCGGCTACAAAATGATAGCCAGCACGAGCTTCTGCGACCCGGAGGCAGCGACAGGAAAGCCTTATCCGCCGAGCCTTCGGCCGATTTTGGAAAGCGCTGGGAGGATCTTATCGATGCAGCCACTTCAGCAACGGAAGACATAGACGAGGATAGGACACCAGTGAGTTCGCAAGGCCCTTCAAAATTCAATCCACATCTGACCAGTCAGATTCCCCGTTCACCTGTATCGATTCATCGATCATCTTTGCCTCCTCTCCAGCAGCACCACAACTATACAAGTTATCAAGCATCGCCGCTGCAGCAGGCGCTCACTCCGCCATCGTACAATCCTGAGGCTACGGATGCCTTCCCATCGGTCGAGAGTGGCGAAAGCGGAGAGAACTTCCATATCGGATCCCGGGGACTGTCGGATTCATCTCCGAGCTACTCTTCGCAAAATACGCAAATTTACTGCGCTGCGTGCCGGGAAGTATCTTTGCTTCGGGAGTCTTATGCGTGCACCGAATGCATATGCGGCTTGTGCCGGGCATGCGTCGATGTTCTGATGCTTGAGCAAGGAGCCCGTCGGAAGTGTCCGAACTGCGCTACGATAGGGGGCCGTTTCAAGCCGTTCCAACTTGATATTAGGTAAACACACTCAGACTCTCAGTTGGCGATCAGGCCCGATAGTCGCCTTCCCATTTCAACCCCTTTCTAGGACTGCACAAACTCGGCGTCATGCGGGGAAGCTTTTATAAGGTTGACACCAACGCTCAATTGGATCGAATACATACGGAAATTTTCATAACGGTAAGGGTTTTGATTTCACATCCATCATTCGGGCAGAAGTATTCATCGATTTCTTAGCGCAGCGTATGATGGCCGCGTCGCCGGACGCTCCCCAGGCGATATACTTCACTTCTTTACTTTCTCTCAGGATACCCATCGGACGCTCTGTTCCGCACAGCCTTGCATATCTCACCACGAGGCTTCTCTCACACACGCATTCACCACATGGAGTAACAGGGGGCGCTTTCTAGGAGTTTTCTGGGGATGTTTATCAGGCGCGTCTTCGTCATGCTATTGTTTCATTCGTGCTTTTCATCATTGGATTTCTTTGCACTCGGTCGCTTTGGGGGTTGCTTTTTTTCACGGTAGTACAGGACAAGTTTGAAAGCTATTTTGGCATGAGTACTGCTGTTGGTCTAAATGGGTTATACCGGGAGTTTTATGTCTCGAAGATCAAGGAGACGATTGGCAGTAGTACATTCAGGGTTCTGAGCAAAGGTACTTGCTTTTTAATGCTTTTGATGACTGCTTTGTTTCTTTGTAGGTTACTGAAACAATATCAGTTTGCTTGGTTTAGGTATTGCTCTTCACCTCAATGTTGATGCCACTTGTGTGGCAAAAGATGGTATTTCGTGCGTTTTGTCTTTTTGGTATCACTTCTGGATGTTTCTTTCCAGGAAGCTTCCTTAGCTTTATTTATACCTGGACGAATAAAGTATTAGCCACTTTGTGCGCAAGTTACAACCCTTTCACACTCGCAGACATGAACGGTGATGTTCCTTTCTGTTCCTTAGTCATTCAGTTCAAAGACACGACATAGATGTGATTCCACCGCCTCTCGTCGCTAGCTCAACAGCAGTAGTGAAGGTCTGAAGATGGCCCACCTTTTTGTAGATATGTTCTTGATGAAGTAGCCTAGACTTCAAGTTTATGCAAGGAGAAGCGTCCACGATGCTGCATTCAGAACACCAGTCTAGTCCGAGTGAGTGTGAAGTAAGTGAACCACCACTCTACAAGCCAACTACGAGCCATTGTAATATCGCGACGGCCATACTACCCCTCCCAACTCATACCCAATTATTACCCGGTACATATACCAGACCTCCCGCTCCTTCCTTCCAAGGAACTCATGGGCTCTCATATGGGTTGCAGGTGTAGTGGTTCATACCGCTGCCTTGTCATCCGGGAGCACATGGGTTCACTCCTCACTTCGAGCAGGTAATTATCCTTTTCCCCTTCTCCCCCTCCCTCGTCCGCCTGACCATCCTCCCTTATTCTTTTTTTTCCCTGCTGAGTCTGTCGACACCTGGCTGTGGAGGGGGCTGTATTGTGTCTTCCATTTGTGTTGAGCTGCGAGATCAATTTCGGGTGTTCCGATTGTTAATGGCTCCTTCCGTAGAATGACTCTTTCCCTATCTCCATAATGCGTTACGAGCCAAGAGGAAGGGAAGGGACAACCCGGGGAAAGAGTTTGGGGCACTGCCGTGCCGTAGTTTGGCCCTCGCTTTTTGCCGTGACAGCCTCACTCGCCATGTTGTTACACTTCGTACTTTCGCGGCGTTTTCCTTTCCCTTCTAGTTCCATTCCAGATTAACAACATCACCAGGACTTCAATCAACCACCATATATCCGAAGACACAAGACACCGGCAATGCTTCTTTTGTGCACTGGTCTGAAAACACCCAGTGTCGATACACCAGCACACATATTCGAAGCGACAGGAACATTTTCGAGTGACCATCAAATCTTGAGTTTGACCGTGTTCTCATCGCAAGCATCCTTAGCGCACCGTTGTACAAAGTATGTTCTATCTACCCATTCAAACAAATCCAATGTGGGAATGGCGTGCTTCGACATTTTTCTTCTGTTTCTTCGACCGGGGCAATCTGCCGGTTAGTACCACGCGAAAATCCGGGGCAGTCGAAGCCACCCGCAATATGGATGAATTCCAGGCAAAATACCATGCTGAGACTAGGTCATGGTTCCATCAGATTCCGGACCGCGTTTATGTCTTTGAACCGAATGCAATATACTTTATCAATATTATGGTTTGCTCCCTTTTTCTCGGGAAGATTCGAGCTCCTCGGCTGTTCCGTGTTGCCATCCACCCATACCACGTTTTCACTACTACACACAACTCATTTTGACACCACTGACTTGGAAGTCCTTTTTGAAGCACAAGACTGGTTTCATGGATTTCATTCTCGTTACCGGCTATTGCTTATCCAGTGTTCTAGCCCAAAGACCCGTCTTCCCGGTTGCAGTGGCCCATCGACCTGCTTCTCGGTCGATCGGGGTCCGAAGATCATGTATTTCCTGGACCATCATTTTCTCAAATTTCAGCTCTTTCACACTCTTGAGCCATTTTCTGGTCACGTCGTCAGCTCAGTCAATTTAGCCTGACAATTGTTGACTGCCGTCCTGCAAGGCATGGCGCACCCTGCGACGCTAAAATGTGAAGCAAGCGTCCATTGCAGAAGCTATTCCGGGGTCTGTCATGGTTAAAAGAGATCAAGCTCTGCGATCTAGCCCTGGCTATTGCTCGCTCATCGTATATGCCATGACAGATTTCACAGCGGGGGGCCATGAGCAGACAAGGTAACCTTCAGCCTAACCTGCGATGTAGGCAGGGTAGGGTCACTTCCTCCGGCCTGGCATGTTTTGCTGTTCCTATCCGCGGGCGTATGCTCGTACAAAAAGCCTCTGGGCCCGTCCCGAACGGAAGTGAAAGTGGTGAAGAATTGCTTATTTCAATTAACTTTTGACTTCAATCCGCTTGCCAATTCATTGCCCACCGCTTCTCAAAAACTTCGATAAAGCTCACTCCAAAACATTCGTGGGCACTGCAACGAACCCCCCTACAATCCCACGACTTCTGTGGTCGTCTGTCTGAGGAACCACTTACACGCATCGAACCACGTTAACATAACCCCTCGAAGCTTATTCAAACTTGGATTCCCGCATGTTGCACACCATGCGTTGGTGATAACATCAGCCTTGCTAATGCAGGCACCCGAACCGAACAAGGGGCTTTAAGAAAGTCGTGTTGGGACTGAAGCGCCGTCACCCGTTACACGCTCTTCGTATTTGCCCCGAGCTCTTTTCGAGAACACCCATTGCTGGGCTTCTATTCCCTGTGTATCCCGAGAGTTCAAGTTCATTTTCTTGACCGACTGGATCCGAACTCTTGGAAGGGAAAGGAGATCCATGAGGAGATAATACGGCATCCATCCCCATCTTTCGGGAAGCGCTTCGTTCTCTTTCGGGGTTTTGGACACCATCTTGGACACTTGACGTTCATCAGCCAACTATCTCAGGAGTGCCAACACAATTCGAGGATTTCCCGTGTGAAGAGCCCAAGACAATCTGGCTCCGCCTGATATCCGCATTCGTGGTGAACGAGAATCAACATAATCCGATCACTCGACGTGCCATATTACGAGCAAAAGACCGGAGAGTTTTGGCGATTATCAATAGCGCCTTCCTCATCCCATTTAAGACCATCATCAAGCGAGAATATTTCCAGTATAGCTTTGGTCAACTGGCAGAACTGGCCTGAAGGATTCAAGACAACACTGCAAGTTCCCGAAACCGAACAAAGTAGCGGTCGATTTCACTCCCGCAAAACGGCTATTTTCCCTGCCGAATTCTGCGAATTCACCCAACTGACGTGGCAAAGACCGTTTGCTCGCCTTTTTTCCTTTTTTTTTTTTTTTTTTTTTTTTTTTTTTTTTTTGGTTGACTAGGAGGCTGGGTCAGCTCTCATCAAACCACCAAACCACCTTCATCTTTGGATATTAAAGTTACCACGTCTTGACTGCAGTTGCCAAATTTCAACAACGCCGCAGCAAATTAGCCCGAGACAACACAATGGCCAAGGGAATATTCTTCATGTCATGGGAGCTGTGGCAGCAGATGACCTTTGTAAGTCAAGACACCATCACCAGGCCCGCCCTTCCCCTTTCCTGAAAATCCCTGTTCAGAAAATGCTAGTTCGCTAACACTTCAGTTCAAGGCACTTGCCGTGGCAATAGCAGCCGTCTTCTGCGCCGGTCTGGTCAAGCTGTGGTGGACGAACCGTATCGTACGAAAACAGGAGATCCTGGACGAGGAAAAGAAGGCGCGGATCGATGACATGCGCAGCACGGGGCTCCGACCTACCTCATCCAAGCGCGCAGCAGCCAGCACCATCCCTTTTGGGGTGCGGGCGATCCAGAGTGGCGTCCAAGTTGACGGCATATGGATCTCGGGATCGGCCACGCCTACCGAAACAACAAAGCTTACCTCGGCGGTGACGCTGGTGAATCTGGATGCGGAGCAACAGAGGAGGGAGAAGACGAAGGCGACAGGGGTCACGACGACGACGTTGCAAAGGCTTGTTACACCCGACGGCTCACTCCTGCAAAGACTCACTGATTCCGGCTCGTTGGAGAGTAACTCATCAGGGGCAATTCCCCCACCGACCTCGCGGTTCACGGCGGAGGACAAGAGGCATTATTATCCTCAGCGCCAAGGTTTGCGGGCTCCCCATGCTTTGAACGAAGATACTCTCCGAAGACTTGAGGGTCAAGATGGAGGAGCCCAGCCGCAAAGACCAGCAGTCTATGACATATACGTGCCGACCACCTCCTCCCGACGACAACAAGAGGTCCGTGGTGGGCACGATGGTGGTCCTACCAGGGGCAGTCAGCGAAGCACCGGTTCTGAATCAGGCGACTCCTCCACCGATTCTGCCCAGCAGCGGTTTACGCGAAGCGGGAGTGGAAGATCCTATAGCTCGTCCAGCGGCGGCGGAGGAGGGGGAAGACCGTATGGGCCAAGAGAAGTCGAAAGAAGAGATGCCGCCGTTCGTGATCCGTTTGGCACTCCCCCTTCGCATGTAATGTATCAGCAGCAGCAGCAGCAACAACAACAACAACAACAACAACAACAACAACAACAGCAGGAGGAAGAGGCAGAGCCCATGATGATCCCTGCCCCTGAGCCGACGTTCGGGCCTGGGGATTTGCATTTTACCAACAACAGGTCTGCTGCTCGGAGGGTCAATGACGGGTTTGAAGTCCTACCTGTTGGAAGACTTGGAACACCGGGTACCGAGCCCAGAGTAAATCATTATCATCTCAACGGTCTGGAAAGGGAGGAAGAGGGTGGTGAAGAAACTGGCCAGGCCCGGGGCAGTCGTGTGCCTGGATATGGACGAAGGTAGTGGGTGAGTAACACGTTGGCTTCTCCAGCAGTTGCAACAGCGCTGGACAGATCATCCTGCGGTTTCTTTTGCTGGGTGTCCCCCGGGCTCAAAGGAGGATGGGCGGTTGTTGTTTTTTGGATAGTTATGAGAAATATCCGATATAGGACGGCGACATGGCGGGAAGAGGCGTCAAGGGGCCGAAATTAAGCAAGAGTTGTATTTCTTTCTTTTTGGATAGAGTGTTCTCGTTGGAAACGCATTCGGGATCAAAAAGGCTGTTCCGCAAACCTCTCATGCCCATTTTGACAGAGAGTCGCTATATCGAGGATCGGGATGGAAACCGGTGATTTAGGCGAGTATGTAGGGTCAAGAAATCGAAGTCCATATGGTCAAAGGGCCATGGTTACAAGCATCGTCGGAGAGCTTCGTGACTGTCATGTTCGATGAGAAAAATTGTGATGGGATTTGGGTAGCAATAGAATTGTATCTCTGCACCAAATAGATAGTGAATGCAAAGAGTGTCAAGATGATGAAGAGAGATCAAGATTGTGAAGAGAGGTCACGATATTGACGGGGAGTCCGGAATTGGCATGAATTGACAAACCCCCAGGGGTGACCGCTGATGAGTGGACCCCACAGTGGAACCCGTCCATCCCGCCGCCTGTCAGTCTCCACTGAACTGGGCTGAATTGGTCATCCAGGTCACATGTTAGCGTGTCGCTCTTCCCCAATTTGTAGAACGCGGGTCGCGCTCTTGCCTGCTGTTTTCGCCTCTGTCAACATTCGCGTATCTTTAGCTCCAGTTCACGTCGGGTTTTTCTTTTCGCCTTTCTGCCTTGGATTTTGTGGCCATCTCCAAAACTATCTCGCTCGCTGCCGGTCCTACCATCATTACACGTCAAGAAATTCAGAAGTTGGTGCACCGAATATCACGATGTCGAACAACGAGGAGTATGATGAGTCCGCCAACATGGAGGACGATAGCGGGATTCCAAACCCAGGCGCCCCAACACCACTTTCTGCTCTAGAGGTATGCATGCCTTCGATTGGTGATTCCGGTCTGGCCAGAAGCTGACTTTCCTAGGGCGTTGCCGGGCTTACCAAACGTGACATCCAATTGATTGTTGATGGAGGCTTCAACACTGTCGAATCCGTCGCCTATACCCCCCGTAGGGTACTGGAGCAGATCAAGGGAATTTCGGAGCAGAAGGCAGGGAAAATATTGGCAGAAGGTAAGTCGCTGGCAACCGAGATAGCTGCGGTTACGTTTTGGGAGCACAAGTTACTAACTTTACAATCAAGCCTCCAAACTTGTGCCCATGGGTTTTACTACTGCGACGGAGATGCACCAGCGCCGCAGCGAACTTATTTCCATCACAACTGGCTCCAAAAACTTGGACACACTATTGGCTGGTGGTATCGAGACCGGCAGTGTCACCGAAATCTTTGGAGAGTTCAGAACAGGAAAATCGCAGATCTGCCATACTCTTGCGGTGACATGTCAGCTTCCCTTCGACATGGGAGGTGGCGAGGGAAAATGTCTCTACATCGACACGGAAGGCACGTTCCGTCCTGTTCGTCTCCTTGCGGTGGCCAACCGATACGGTCTATCAGGAGAAGAAGTTCTCGACAACGTCGCCTACGCAAGAGCCTATAACTCGGACCATCAGCTGCAGCTCCTGAACCAGGCCGCAGCCATGATGTGTGAGACTCGCTTCAGTCTGTTGATTGTCGACTCCGCGACCTCGCTCTACAGAACGGACTTCTTGGGCCGTGGCGAACTCAGTTCTCGCCAAACCCATCTCGCAAAGTTCATGCGCACTCTTCAGCGTCTTGCCGACGAGTTCGGTATTGCGGTGGTGATTACGAACCAGGTCGTGGCGCAGGTCGACGGTGGCCCGTCTGCCATGTTCAATCCCGACCCCAAGAAACCAATCGGTGGCAACATCATTGCGCACGCCAGTACCACTCGCATCAGCTTGAAGAAGGGTCGTGGAGAGACGAGAATCGCGAAGATCTACGACAGCCCGTGCTTACCAGAGAGCGACTGCTTGTTTGCTATCAATGAGGACGGTATCGGGGACCCCAGCCCGAAAGATATGGAGAAGATGAACCAATAGTCTTCAACGGGGATGGTAACAGCCAATCAAGATGAGATTCATACACTAATCTAGGAAGGCAAGGGACTGATGATATGACGATACAGGGTCGGATGCGTGTATAAGGATAATGGGTGTTTCTGATGGACATAGCGCGTTTTTATTGTTTACATGGGAGGGCAGCCTGGCGTTACACATGCCTGGTATGACTGGTAGAAGTCTGGAGTTTAGTCAACTTATCATCAACAAGGGTCCTTGATCTTTTTTCAACGCGGTCAACGAGCTAAAGCTGTCATAAGTCGTTTCGCCAACCAGTCGTTGACCAGTCCAGAAGGAGCTCCTCGATGTTGAGGTCGAGCAGTAAAGGTGTGGTATTCCTAAAATCATAGACTGTGAAGCTGAAGCTCTTACCCATTGAGACACCACGCTACGGACCAGATAATCTCGTGGATAAAGGAAGTCAGGACGAAATGTATGGTCTGTGCCCCTGGCTTGAAGGTAGAGATCGAGCGCCATCATCCATTCCCTTGATCATTGTCAAGTCGTGGATGTCAAAGAGATCGGAACTGAAGGCTTCCGCTTCTTTCTTGGTGTGACGTACCTTGTACCCTATTCAAATAGTCTTACTAGTGGTTTAGCACAGAGCTCCCCACCAACCAACGCCAGCGATTGACCGACCCGCTGCAAGCCTGCAACTGCTTCGCTTGCAGCGTTGCGCTGTGCTTGGGAACTTAGGTTGAACTTGCCGGGCGGCCAGAAATTCTGCCCAGGGCATCACAGCAAAAGCAACAACCGCGTTTGCATCTCCAAAAAGCGCGACAGCAACCCCTCGACATTCCCCATACCACACCGAATGATACCCATGGGAACAAGATGAGCGCACGGGATTTTGAGATTCTCTACAAAGAGACGCGCCTTAACCTCGAGCCGTCCACATCGTCGTCGATTGTCCAGATCCGCGTCGGATCGCACAACCAGAGCTCCTTCAGCAGGTCGACAACAGCAAGCGCGCGCGCCATCAACGCCGCCGACGACGAGAAGGCCTACCGAATCCGGAACCTAGCCACTGCTTCATCAGTATACTACCGAAAGCACCATGTCTCGCCCCGTGGATTCCATTGGCGAGTCCTCGAGAATGACACCGTCCTGAGCATCCGCGCGGCCGATGTCTGCAAACCACAACACAACGATACCGACGCGCCCTTGGTCTTGAACCTCCGCTTCCCCTCGCCGATACGAACCTCTTGCATTGGCTTCTCCGACCCAGAGGCCCACGATGCCCTCTGCGTTCATGTCGTGGACCAGTCCAATCAGCTCCACACCATCACTCTTCGCCCAGATCACTTCAGGAAGAGGCTAGCAACCGATGGCGGGCTGGGCGACTTGTGCAAGTCGTACTCGCCGCCCGGGTTCGGCTTCAAGCAACCACACCGGCTCGTGGTTGTGAACCATGACCAGCTAATTGTCACAATGCACGATGGAGGAATCCTCAGGTTCGACAGGACTAGCAGATCAAACGGTGGTGAGCACTCCTGCATCCGCATTGTTGCAGAAACAACTGCTGACGAAGCCTTATAGCAAACGGCAACCCATGGAAGGAGACTATCTACAACGTTGCTGGATGGGGACAGAGCTTACAAAAGCTGGTTCCTTTCAAGCGAGATCCGACAGTGCGGTACGGCAACACCAACATGGAGCTAACAGCAGCTACGTCGACAGCGATCACGAATGCGGGCATCGATGACGCCGCCTTTTTGTTTACTATCTGCCTGGACCACCGCATGCGGGTGTGGGATGTGCGGACGGGCCAGATTATGTATACGGGCGACATCTTGAACGCTAAGCGCGATCCTCAGGACATCGCCCGATGGACTATCGACCCTTCTCAAACAAACCTAATCCGTATTCTGGACAATGGCCCCGGCCAATGTTTGGTCGTCACCTACTCGCCAATAGGGTCGGGCGAGTTCAAATTCTGGAAAGTGAAGGCCAACGCCCAAGGATCGATTCATGTTGCCGACTGCTTCCCCGAACAGAAGCTGGTCCCGGCTAGCCCATCTTCTCTGGATATCTGGACCCTGGCCGACTTTGCTGTGGCACAACAAGCAGAGGGGCCTGAGCTGTGGACACTGTGGAAGAACAATATCACCTACCGGGTCCAGAAGCTCCAGGTACACCCAAAAAGTGCCAGCGGACCTTTCGACGATGGTTGGAAAATGGTGAATATCGAATCTTCGGCAGCATCTGCACAGACATCGGGGCCTTGTGATCCCGTGGATTCAAGCGAGAAGTGGTTGGAACTTATCTTCTTCCCGGGGAGGTTCTCCAAGTCGACGCTCGAGACAGCACTGGTGATGTACGAAAAGGGCCTCGGAACGTACAAGGAGGGTAATTCGAGATCAAACAAGAGCATCGCAGAGTCGATTTGCTCCATCCTTGGGTCTACCACAACCCTCGATCGGAGCTCGGTCGGAGGGCTGGATTATGAACAGTTCAGGAACACGAGCGAGACTCAGTGGACAAGGTTTTGGCGATTGCTACTTGAGCTGGACAAGCAAAGGGGTGAAGCACTATCCCTGGTTCTTGATCCTGTGGATGGCATGATCTGGGTTGCGTGTGCTGATCTCTTGTCTGCTATCAGGCAATGCAGCGACCTTGACCGAATTTATCATAATATCGAAACCCCCAGCCAGAAGGATCAGGACGTTGCGGCCTTGGTATCGGCTGGTCTGAACTTTGTCGACGTCTTCTCGGACAGCATGTTGGAGTTGACCAGAGCGGCTCTAAGGCCAGAGCTCTTTGAGGAATCATCACTATCGGATGCCGAGCGCATGCAACAGTTTTACGATAAGGCAGGGTTCTGGCGTCAAGTGACCGAAGAGGATGTGGCTCAAGTGGTGGAAACCCTGGGACAAAACTTCCAAATGGTTACTCCTAGGTTGTACGAAGATTTGTTCGAGCTAATCACAGCGGCGGGTGATAGGAACTCGCAGGAGTTGCGAGCGCCGTTCACAGGGTTTGGGCGGAAACTGGTCATCCGGACAGTGCAGGAGACGATCGAGCTTCATTGGAAGATACTCTTCAGCCAACTCATCCTTCTGGTTCACATGGAGGATGAGATCGAAGACGAGAAGAGTGCATTACACGCCAGGTTTGACGTCGGCCTGGTCTACCGCAAACTGGTTGATGCTCTTAAGCGGCTCGAGCATCTCCGGTGGATGGTCAAGACAGAGCTTACGATCCCCGTGCCCAAGGCTGATCACTCTGGCTCAGCATCACCTGTGGCCAACCGTGGTAAGGAGGAGACGTATGCCATCACTGCCTTGGAAGGACTGATTGGGCACCTCCTGGGATTACCAGAAAGCCACGGTGAACCTCTGTTGTCTAGCATCACTGATGTCGTTCTTGACATCTGTGCTCCGACTAGCTCGAACGAGCTCGACAATGGAATCATGCAATGCTGGCTTCTCAAGCAGGGCCGTCCTGACCTCGCGAAGGAGCTCAACCCGTTTGCTCAGCAAGATCCCTTTTCTACTTACATCCAGGGTCGCGTGTTCCTTGCCCTCAACGAGCACAACACTGCCGCTCAGTGCTTCAAGAAGGCATCAGTCGGCCTAAGCACAGAGCGCACGACTGTGCAACGGCATAGCGCTGGCCTTCTCGACGATACCGAGTGGAAGTTGCTTTACAGCGGACTTCCCAACTACTACGCTCACATCGTCAACCTTTTCGAACGGCAAAAGGCCTATTCATACGTGGTTGAGTTCTCCAAGATTGCTCTGCAGTTCATTCAGGACAACCAGGAGGATGACAACACCAGCAGCCAGCGGGCTAAGCACAACGACGTCAAGACGGAAATGCTTTCCCGCCTCTTTACCGCCTCCACGGCCATCTCGCAATTCGACGTCGCACACTCCACTCTACTCGCCATGGTTGACGACGAGGTGCTGCAAAAGTCGTACCTCCGCAAGCTCGTCGAGAAGATGTGCGAGGCTGGCCAAAACACGGAGCTGGTCAACCTGCCCTTCTCCGGTCTGCAAACCATGGTCGACGAGATCCTGGTCGAGAAGTGCCGGCAAGTCCGCGACGTGCTCAGCGGCGCGCCGTACCACCAGATCCTGTACGCCTGGCGCATCAGCCACAACGACTACCGCGGCGGCGCCGCCGTCCTGCTCGACCGGCTGCAGAAGCTCAGACAGATGGGCGAAGGCGACAAGGTCGGTGTCAGCGGGGAGGACGCGCTGGATACGCAAGTGACGAGACAATACCTGTTGCTCATCAACGCGCTGAGCTGCGTCCAGGCCAAGGGTGAGGCGTACATCCTCGAGGACATCCTCTCCGACGAAGAGGAGGAAGACCAAGACGTAAAGCCTAACGGGAAGGGTGGTGGTGATAACCTAGAAGACCATCTTGACGATCTTCTGGAGCGCCTTGACACCGCTGAAGACCCTGCCCAACAACACCAACAACAGCAACAGCAACCCTCCAAGAAGAAGACAGCAGGAAGGACCACCAGGGCCTCGGCAGCGGCTGCTTCCTCGACTGAATCTCAGCACGAGGAGGATCGTGTCCTCGCCGAGAAGTTGAGGCAGTTTTCCACCGCTTCCGAATCGTTCTCTGGCGAGCCGCGCAGGAGGCTGCTTACGCTCGCCGACATCCGGAAGCAGTACCAGCAGGAGCTGGACAGGATCGTGGCGATCCAGAACAACCAGTTTGGATTCACGGATGGGTTTGATGGTGACGATGGGGATGTTCTCATGTCATGAGTGAGTTGGTTGGTCTGCATGTTTGGCTTGTCTGGTTGCTTGCTTCATTGTAATGCTAGAATGATGAGAATTTATCGAAATCATGGATAAAAAAAGGGGGATAGGGAAAGGAGTAGTTACGGGATTAGGAACAGCGGGTTACGAATGCTAAAGCCTTTTGTTATGTCTCAATCTCATTGCTGGGAGTACCGGTTTTTTCGATGGTATGACAGTCTGTGGTGATGTCGGGTTAACTACGATAACTGTCTCAAAGTTTCGACCGGTCAAATCTTCATCTATAATAACTGTGCTCACCAATCTCAATACGCTCATCACCAACTCAATCCAGGGGCAATGTCCAGTCGCTGAGAGAGAAAGCAACGATGGCGGCGCCGGCGCAACTGCAACCGCTTCATCTGAGATTATGATATAATTCTTTCTCTTTCGAAAAGCCAACGCCGTGCCATGCTAAGTCAGAAAATATTTATGTAAAAAGTAAAGCTTGAGACTCATTCTCACACATGGAGTTTATGAAGTCCCGATAGAGCCGCCCTCCCTCCAACCAAGTAACAAACAAAGAAACCGCTACCGTCTTGCGCGCGCGCATTCGCTTTTTACCAATTCAACATTTCTTGTCTGTTCGGTCCGTTCATCCTCCCGTCATACCATCCTCCCCAAAAAATCATTATTATATCATCATTGGCCTTACATCTCAGCCACACTCTGGTCATTCATTCAGCTTGCTTTTCGCTCGCTCGCTCCACCTGGAGGAGGTTCATCGAGATCATTTAAGCAGCAGGTATCCCAGCAAGCCGGTTATCGTTGGGAGGCGGCGCTGGTAGAGCGTTTTGACCGGGAGGAGCAGCGGCCGCAGCAGCCGCAATTTCGGGAGCTTGTCGGTAGAGGATGATCTCTGACTGTTTGAAGTACCGCCGGGCATCTATGATATTGACGAAAAAGGTGGTTAGCAACTGTGAAGGGTTATAGTGGTGAAGGGAGGACGGGTGGTGAACTGGTCCTGTTTTGAAACCTACCTTCATCTATGAGGACCAGACTGAGGTAGTATCTTGTGGAAAACTTCTTGTTGACGTCACGGAAGGTGGGTGTCAGATCGAACCCGCCTAGGAACAGTCGGATGGGGATGGTTTCGCCTCTTGATGGCGAGCCATCCATGATCTATATAGCCAGCAAGTCAGAAATCGGTTGGGGGAGCTTTACATGATAAGCTGGTGAAACAGGAGAAAACATACCTCAAACCGCACCAAGGTCTCGCTCTCATTGTACTGGTTCGGCGCAACACCCGTTGTTTCGCGGCGAATGATGCTGAGCTCCATGTGCTTGATCTTGAGCCGTACAAGCAAAAAGTAGATGCGGCCCACGATGACATCCTTCAGGTGGTACTTGCTCTTGCTATACTCGAACTCGATGTGCAGACAGTCCTCGATGCCGACGTCCATCTTGATGCTGCTGTTCATCTCGGGCGGGATACGGTAGCTGTAAACCCAGATGTCTTTCTCGCGAATGACGTCGGCCATGCGGCGCGAGACGGTAACGCGCACAAAGTAGCGCAGCTTGACGTTGATGCCGTTGTACGACTCGTATTGCTTCTCGACGTTCTTGAAGTTGAAGTCGAAGGTCTGGGGGTGCTGCAGCTCGCCCGGGGCCGCGAGCTCCTGTACCAGCGACAGGAACTCGTAGTGGTTCCCGCGGTCGAAAAACATCTCTATTGTGCCGATGAACTGGACCTTGATGCCCGTATGCTCCAGCCTCTTGCCGTCCTTGGGTCGCACCGTCACGGCGCCCTTGACCGACTCGCCGTCCATATACAGCGGAGCCTTCTCGCGCCGGTTCTTGTCTAGCTTGACATCCACCATGGATCGCTCGTCGGCATCGTCGAGGACGATGTCGATATCGACCGGCGTTGCAAAGAAGTACGACATGGTAGGCTGCGATGGTTCGTGATTATGATGGGGTGGTTATAATCCTGGCGCGATGTGTTGCGGATAGGAAGGGGACGTCTTGGTCGGGAATCGGACTGCGCGACGCAATGGCCCTGTAAGTTGGACCAGGTGGTGGGTAGCTTTCGGGTTGGACAGGCAACTCTTTAAACAATTGAAGTAATTAGTAACTGGATTCGCACGAGGATATTGTAGCTTCAACCCTGTTCAATTGCTAACATACGAAAGGCTGACAGCAGACTGAAGCTTACTCCCGATGTTCGGTGTAGTGTCGGTATATCGAACGTGTAACACGGTCTCTGGCAACAAGGTAGCTGTTACTGATGCAGAGGTTCAGACGAAGCGGCGCCAGCTCGTCGTCAGCGATGCGGCACTGCTTGGTCGGTCCCTCCTTGTCCCCGCCGGGGCGGTGTCGGCCCACTGAGCGAGCTGGGCTAAAGTGGGGTGTAATTGCCGGCTTGGCGCCGTGAGCATCTTCCGGCAACTGGAGCTGTGCAAGCTTGCACCACTCGACTCCCGTCGTTCTCACTCAACAGAATCAGAGCTCACGGTCCTCACCACATGGCCGCTGGCTTTAATAAACCCACCTTGGCGATCAACCATCAGCAGGGGTTGCATAAGACTTTTGTTTTTGGTTCAAGAATCGCAGCGAATTTAAATCATGAAGACCGACAATAATCATACAAACTTCGTCCGTGCTGCCAGTTGCCTTGTGATGTAGTGATAATATGCCCATGCCCAGTATACGTAGCCAAAAAGCAGTTATACCAAGACCCAACGTGCAGCTTGCGAATAGCCTCGTGCACCCGTTGTTAGCTTCCATGGTGATGAATGTCACAATTCCACCATGACGGGCCTGAAGAAACGCGTTGCTGGACGAGATGCACGCGAACACAGTGAGGACCGACAGTGCAGGTGAGGAAAGGTGAGGCTGGAGCCACACCCGGAGGCTGACCGGTCCCTGCACGGGCCAGGTTTGCCCCACTTTGGCCTGTTCCGCCGCAAATTGGGCCAATGGCAGCATTCACCAGCCCCTCTGCCCTAAGGCAGGCAGCGCGGGCGGTCGGCACACACAAGTTGAATTATTCCGGGCGCCCCAAAATCGACATTTTTCTTTGGGTTTTGCAACCTCCCAGTCCACCTCGACGACGAACTGACCACCCTCACCTCCTCACCCTCCGACCGACGCCAAAATGCGCTACATCCACAGTGAGGAGACCCTGGAGGTCCCTGAGAACGGTACGTTTGCGCTTGATTGACGTTATTCTGCGATATCTACGGCCCGAGCGAAAGAAGACGGCTGAGGCGCGGGCTTGGCCAGGCGAAAGCGAGCGACGGACGGACGGCAACCATCAGAGAGGAATTGGCATGGGAATGGATTGATGGGGACAACGACTTTGGGCTGGCTGGTTGCTATATGGGGGATGGACGTTTTTCGCTGGCCGGCCGAGCTTGGGAATCGAAACGACTGTGTTTGGGCCTGTCGCGTATAAGCTGCGTATCACTAACGCCACTTTCGGTTTACAGTCAAGGTCTCGATCAAGTCCAGGATCGTTACCGTCGAGGGCCCCCGTGGCAAGCTCGTTAAGGACCTCAGCCACATTGCCGTCAACTTCTCCGTCATCAAGAAGGGCATCATCGGCCTCGAGATCCACCATGGCAACCGCAAGAACGTCGCCGCTCTCCGTACCGTCCGCACCCTCATCAACAACTTGATCATCGGTGTCACCAAGGGCTTCAAGTACAAGATGCGCTACGTCTATGCCCATTTCCCCATCAACGTCAACGTTGAGAAGAACGCCGAGACTGGCAACTTCGAGGTCGAGATCCGGTACGTTTGGAAACGAGTCCTACACGCGGAGGAATGGGGATAAAAGGTGGCGCATGCGCCGAGGTGGAACAGAAGTGCTGACTAGAGCATGCGTGCAGTAACTTCATCGGCGAGAAGATCGTCCGCCGCGTCGTTATGCAGCCCGGTGTCGATGTCGAGATCTCCAAGGCCCAGAAGGATGAGCTTGTCCTCTCCGGCAACTCCCTCGAGGGTGTCTCCCAGTCCGCTGCTGATATCCAGCAGATCTGCCGGGTGCGCAACAAGGATATCCGTAAGGTACGTTGCGAAAGCTATACCCCCGGGGCTATATGGGCTGGTGGAGGAGCCAGCAAACGATGGCTTGTTTTGCTAACACCGCTTGCAGTTCCTTGATGGTATCTACGTCTCCGAGAAGGGCAACATTGTCGAGGACCAGTAAACGTGCGGCTCGGCATGGGTTTCTTTGTGCTTTATGGGTCTCACCGGAGTGGCAAGGGTCTTTGGCATTTGCATGTTTTGTAGCGTAAGGGAAAAATTTCGCTACGGGCAAAATGGGCAAATCTTTTGAAGAATCACCCCCCTTTCTCGGGTTCTCGCCAATTACCTAGCATCAACGTCTTGGGAGGCGCCCTCCTCTTCCAGCGGGTGACTGGGGAGGAGAGACGGGCATGTCACATGTGTTCTCCTTGGACCAGGAAAACGCAACAGCAGAACATAACGAGAGAATACCCAAACAACAAAACCGAGCATCGAGTGTGTGACGACCGTACATGTCTGGGAAAATGGGCATCACGAGAGCGCCAAAGAAGATGTTAGGGATGATTCTGTTTGTTAGGCTGGTGGACATATGATACCCAGACTAACTCGGTAGATGAGCCTGTCGAAGAGTCTCCAGAGACCAAATCTATTAATGATCAACAACTTTGGTTGAAAGCCCATCGTCTAAACGTGTGCTTTTTGCGCCGAGGGAATGTTATAAAGACACAGGACATGATAACGATCACTTCTGCACAATTCAGGGGTTGTTGCACCGAACTTTTCTGGCCACGAGCAACCAAGGCCAAAGCAAACCCGACCATACATTCAACCAGTCGAACTCCAACACCAGTGTCCAGCTCATCTTCTGCCCGCCTCCTATAGAGTTCATACAAATCCGTATTCCCCATTGTAATTGTTCACACCTCGAGCAAAGCAACACACTACTAATCTTGATTCTTCAGATACGAAAGTTCACGATTTCCAATTATATCATTGACTTCTCATCTCATTTCAACCAAATCTTTCTCCTTTCATTCTTTCATTTCATGCACACATACATACATACATCAATCAAGTCATTCATTACACATGTCCGTATCCTGATCCCGAATCCTCATCATCATCATCCCTGCCACTGCGAACTTCTTCCCTTTTCTCTCTCCCAAATAAGACTTGCTCGCTCAGAGAACTCGCTCGCTCAATTCCATCTTCATCCTCCACAGCCTCCAATCGACCCATCGTCCCACGTCGTGGAGACCCATCATATATATCAACGAGCTTTGAAAAAAAAAGAAACCCCTTGAGAAAATCCTCCGTGACCTCGTAAATCTGAGCTCATAACGCCGTGAAAACAAAAAGCATGGGGATATTGTTGGGTGAGTGAGAACGTTGAATAGATGTGGGGAAATCCATAAATGCTCAGCGTCTCTGGGGAGGGGAGGATGGGTGTTATATAGTGAGAACCGGGAAAGTCGAAAAGAAATATACACAGAAACGAGAAATTGAGAATGGGCGGTTGCTGTCGCTGTCATCTCTCAGGGCATGCATGCATGCTGCATGAGTCCAGACAGATGAAGTGCAGCGGCTGCGGGGAATCAGTCAAGGTCGGGGCCGAGTTTCTTCGGGCTTCAACTTCATCCCCTCATAGGACCGGGAGACCTCGATGGAATGCGGCGCTGACCAGGAGGCGGCGGAGGCACGGAGCTAACGCGCGACACGCGAGTCGTCGTCCTGGTCACTCTGCTGGCTGTCCTGGTCCTACCAGCGCCGTGGGCAGAGGCAGAGCGCGCAGAGCGCCGAGTTCGTCTATCGCTACTGAACGAGCCTATTTGTGTTTCCAAGGTCAGTATTCAGAACTCTCTGGCTTTGCCAGCTGGTTGTAACTTACTAGGGCTTCCGCTGGAGGTATAATCAGAATAGTAATAGCTGCTATTCTCGCTCCTGGACTTGCGTCTCGACGACTCCTTCTTCTTATCCTTCTTCATTCCGAGCAAGAGCCAGAGCGTACCGAGAGCTGCTCCGGCGCCCATCAGACCCTTACCACTGCTCTCCTTGCGCGCAGCGGCTCCGCTGGGACGACCGCCGGCGGCGCCCTCATACCAAGAGCCGTGGGAGTCTCTCCGGCCGCTGTGGCGAGCGTACCGCTCCTCCTCGACGACCGTCTCCCTGGTCCTCTTGTTGCCTGCTCCGATGCCGAAGATGGCCAGGAACCCGTGCCACAGGCCACGCACGATGCAGCATGCGCACAGCAGCAGAAGCAGAACAACACCGGCGAGTGTGCCAATAACGATACCCGCGATCGCTCCTCCGCTCAGACCGGTATCAGCCGTGCCGCCACCGGCTGCACCACCGGCCGCACCGCCTGTGCTGCTGGCTGTAGCGCTGGCTGCTGTTCCCGTAGCGCCGCTGGTAGGACGGTAAGGGGCGCTGTACTGGGTAGTGTAAGTGTGACCGGCCAAGGTGCTGCCCAAAAATGGGGCGCCGTCGTTGGGACCCCTCTCCATACACTGGCCGGCGTATTGACACTTCTGCGATGCCGCACAGCAAATGCTGCCGCATGCTGACTCGCCAAGACTGGTGTTGGGAACGCAGTCGGGGCCGTTCGTGGCCATAGCTCCGACTACAGTACTCCAGACGCTGGTGTGGGTCTGCGTCAACGTGTCGGTCCAGACGGAGGTGTACCAGACAACATTTGCCTGTGGCTCTGGCTGTGGGTAGGGAGCTGCAGCTGCATACTGCGGGAGCGTCGCGCAGGCCAGCAAAAGGGCTGAGAACAGACTCAGCGGCGATTTCCGGGACGCCATGGTGAGGATTGCTGTTTGGATATCAAGTTCTCAAAACCGCAGAATATCAGTGTGCCGGTGGAGATGTGCCGTCCCCGATTGTTGGTCGGTACAAATATCCCGGTCGTCTGCCGGACGGGGCCCGCTTTTGAAGGTCCGGGCCGGGGCTGGGTGGGCCGTGCAAAGTTCCTGCCGATCGTGCTAGCTGCTAGCTTCGAGGGCTGCTTCTATCGCGTGTCGGATGTCGGTTACGGCGGTGAGCGGGGTGGGGCTTTAGCAGTGGTGTGCAGATGCAGCGGTGCAGCGGTCGCTCCCGTCGTTCTGGTGTGAATCTGAGAATGTGCGTGTATCGGTTGCTGTAACTTTAAAGCTGCTTTCAACCTGAGTGATGCTGTTTTGCGCTTTTCGACTGATTTGTTGCTCGTCGGGCTTATCGCGTCTCTCCTGGATGAACCAAACGGTACCACTGATTACCAGATCTTTCTCGCTCTCGTTTCCTTGTCCTGCTGGGTTGCGCGGGGTGCGCCCTAGAACCAGTGTAAGCTCAAAATGAGCCGCGACTGAGTAGGTTGGTGATGGTTGTTCAGCGACGGGAAACCGACTGACTGAGACCGAAATATGAGAACCGGTTCCACACTCCAGTGACGGACTAGGAGAAGGAAAAGGAAGAAAAAGAGGGAAGAGGGAAAACGGGAGAATGCAGCAGGATGCAGCCTTCGTCACTGCAGATTTTAATACCTACCTTAGCCTTGGTCAAGGTCCACGGAGGCCCTGTTCGGGGGTGGTCGGGCGGAGGAGGGTGTCAGGGTGGTGGAGGGCCAAGCAGTTGTGGGCGGCCAGGGCGGGTTTGGGTGCAAGGTGCGGTGCCATCGTTTTTGGCTCCCCGTCCCCAACCTCCTCGCAAAAAAAAGTCGTCGACGGCACCACTCCAGCCAGGCACACTCCGTCTCACTCCCGCGCTGAGAGGGCTGACCTAGACTTCTCAGCACCGTAGCACCCAACCCCTCGGTTTTTTGGACCGACGGCTAATATTCCCTGGAAAGGCAACTGCCATTCGTCACAATCCCTTTCTTTACTTTCAGGTCCATCCATCAATCACAGCGCTAGCGAATGCCTTCATTGACGCTGCTCCCGCCCTGGAGATCTAAGGGTTCTCAAGGGAATGCCCGAATGAAGACCGAAAAAACTTGGTCGTTCCGATTGACTGGATCTTGTTCGTATCGAAACGTCCCAAGTATCCTTCTTGCATGACAAGGTGGATATGGAAGCTGTAGGGCCTTCTCGGGTCTGCCTCTTGCATATGGGTGGAATCGCGGTCTTTTTTGGCGGTCATGTTTCGACTTGTTTGCCCTGGTTGAAGTCCAACACTCCACGCGAGTCCCGTTAACGGTCCCATCACCCACTCGATCACCGACGGCGTCTTTTCCCTGTCAATCTTGCTTGTGCCTGCATAAGCAGTACGGCTTATTTTGACAGTGTGCAAGTATCCTGGACCCTCCCAGCACCATCTTTTTTTTTCGTCTCAGTGACCGGACATTGTTCGAAGCAAGGCCGGCGATGTGCAGGATATCGAACTATATGCGAATATTGCATACATCGCATCATCAACCGGCAGCTGGATAGGCACATAGGGCAGTGCTACAGGTGCCATTGGTGCCAAGATATGCGTCTTGGCATCATTCGTGATGGGACCCTTCCAAAGGCTCATGACTGGACCGAGTCGGTGGTGGCCCAGATGAAGCTGTGCATTGAATCTCTGATAATAAGCCGTATCTCGCTGTGTAGAGGTAGGGAGAGCTATTCACCGTTTGTGAGGCTGGTTGACGGGTTCGTATGGATAGTACAGGCATCTTGAACGCATCTTGTAAGAAAGCTTGGTAACAGGAACTTAATGCCAGCCCATCATTTGTGAAGAGGCGACCATTATATATACTCGAGACTGAGGTGTCACTATCCTCTCAGGGTGACGAGAGCGTGGTGCAAAGACCAGATGGATGACTGGAAGTGATTTGCTTCAAATTGTTATGAGCTGCCCATAGAGCGGATTTTAGGTGCAACTAAAAAGCTGGGGCTGATGGGGAAAGCTGCAGGGAGCTCTCCTTGTTGCGCATCATCGAGGTTCCCTTGCCCGCTGGAGGTGGCCGCTGCGGCTGCGAACGCCCACATGCTGGAACTGCCAACATCAGTGCATCCTACACCTCAGACCAGCCCGTCATCTCGCCCGCCTTGCCAAGAAGCTCCATCATCAACTACACACCATACCTACAACATCCCCGCGCTGAACCGACAAGGACAGTCTTCAAACACGCAGAAGCTGCCTCGAGCTCTCCGACTGAGCGCATCAGCTTCGACACCTATTCACCATGTCCCTGGACCCGCCAACCTATCTCGCGTCGCTGCAAAGCAATATCCGTCAACGGCCCATCCCGTGGGATGGCGCCGTCCGCGCAGGCACTCTGACGGAGGAGCAGTTGGCAAAGATCCGGGCTGTCGACAAAGTCAAGCGGGATGTGCGCAAACAAGTCATCGAGGCCGACCTGGATGGATACAAGACACTCTTTACTGGCAAGAATGAAAAGAGGAGCGTGCTAGAATCGGCGTCCAAGCGACCAGACGTGTGCCAGTACCTCCTCGTCTTGCTCAGCGACTTGCTAGACAGTTGGTTCCCTTCGTTTCCTACTACCCGTGATATGCTCCTTCCACTCGTCCACCTCTTTCATCCATCATTCCCGTAGCAACTGCCAGTAAACAGTGACGTCGCATATCCATGTATACCTATCAACCGACTTTGTCTAACCTGTTGTATCACAGATGTTCCCGCTCTGTCGAAAGCCTTCTTCGAATCTGACGATTCCAATCCCTACAAGGACATCCTGCCGCTCCTTGCGCATTCGACCAACACCGAAGACCCGATCCCTCTTCTTACCTCTATAGTTCTCGTCAAGCTCATGGCTGGCTCCAGAGATGAATCCACAGCTACTGCCGAGAAGGCATTGCCTATGCTATACAGTTATCTAGCTTCCCTAACCAAGAACTCGGACGCCGGACTGCAGGATATTGGCGTCCAAGAGTACTCGCAACTCCTCTACAGCCATGTCTGCAGGCAGCAATTCTGGAAGCAACGCAGCGAAACGGTCGGGCCGTTGATCGACATTCTACGTGCTGCTGCTGGTGTTTCTGGCGGCGATGCCTCAGCCAATCTGTGGAGTGGGACTACCGCCCCCCTAAGGAGCGGTTTCGAAGCTTCGGTTGGTGGCGGAGTCGGTCTACAGCTCCTCTACCATGTGCTTCTTGTCCTGTGGCAGTTAAGTTTCGAGGCTGCGGAAATTGGTGATGATTTGAACGAGTAGGAAGGCCCTTTGAGAAAAAATGAAAAAAAAAAACAAATGCTAACCCAAACTCTACCACAGTGAATACGAGATTGTGCTGCTTTATACCCATCTTCTCCGACTCTCGCCAAAGGAAAAGACGACGCGACTCCTCATCGCAACGCTTTACAACTTGCTGTCGAACAACCAGAACTCCCTCCTCCCTACTGCCGTGCTTGCTCGCCTCCCCCAGTTGCTGCAGAACCTTTCGAGCCGGCAGTTTACGGATCCAGATCTTGTTGAGGATCGAGACAAGCTGCGGGAGCTTGTTGAAGAGTACACCAAGACCAAAACGACATTTGACGAGTACGTCGCCGAGGTCAACTCGGGCCATCTGAGATGGTCGCCCCCGCATCGCAGCACTGTCTTTTGGGCGGAAAACGCTCGCAAGATTCTGGACTACGAGAATGGCGAGATTGTGCGCAAGTTGGCCGAGATTATGCAGAAGCCTTGGGAGAACGACAAGGCGGTATTGGCGATTGCGTGCAATGATGTTGGCTTCTTGGTTCGCGAAGCACCCGAGAAGCGAAGCCAGCTGGAGAGATATGGTATCAAATCACGAATCATGGAGTTGATGGGCGAAGCTGATGAAAATGTCCGGTGGGAAAGCCTGCGCGCCCTTGGTGGATGGTTGCAGTACAGCTTTGATACCAAGTGATGGGTGGGCATGTTTGAGGGATCGGGATGGATGCATTGCATGAGAGCTCTATGTTTACTACGACTACCGCATTACTATTAGTGCAAGAATGGTTTCATGATGTTCAATGACCGATGGATGGCTCATGAGGTGAATTGCTATGGGGCACACGAGTCTTTGTGGAAGTGGGCAGGGCCACCATGACGGCTAATGACTGTGTATCCTGGATTGCTCTCAATTCTGAACCTATCCATTTTACAATGAGCTACCCTCCAACATTCGTACTTCTGCCATGAAATCTAGGTCTAGTAAATTGTCGCCAAATATTCAACCATCGAGGTCGTTAATACACGATACTATACCCCATCATAGACCTGTTTATTACCCAATTACGTAACCGCCATAAGGCATGAGCTACCCCACTAACCTCTCCTTATCTCATCAGACCTCTCCTTCCACTTCGACCCCCGGGCCCCTCTGACATCACACCCCTAGGTAGCTGAGCTTCGAGGCGCCAACACGCAAAGAGCCAAACAGCAACACGCGACCAAGCGCAAACAAATCATAAACCAACATTTCAGGAAACAGTCACAATGGGAACTAAAAGAGTAAGTTCTTCTATATTCGTCACCATTTATACAGACTGCTCCTAGAGCTTCACAAAGAAGAACGATACAGACTCACTCATCTTGACCTCTGAGCTTATCACGAGCTCTTGGCAGCTGCTGTTATGTATAAGTCGTTTGACTTGAGGATAGGTGAAAAGACCTGTTACTGACCTTCTGGTTTCCCAATGAAAATAGGTTTACTTTCTTGCCCATGGCAGGGTTCAAGGTATGATAGATACTTGATACTTACCATTCGTCTCGGCCACTCGAGCAACAATGAATGATTGGTTCGGGGCTCGGAGCTCGACGATTTCCTCCCTGAATGTTTGGGTTGATGATCCTGACTTATGGAAATATTGAAGGTGTTTTCTACCGGTAAGTTGTGGAAGGCTATATCATTCTTGTCTTTAAGTTCCATTTAAGTCTGCTTTCGTTTTCTTTTGTTTTGTTTTGTTTTGCTCTTATATCACTATGTTGCATTACTTGATGTGGGTTCTTCTTCCCATCGAAACAAAGTATACGGCACTGTTTCATTCATAGTATTTTACGTTTTACTTCTGCAAGACCTTTTCATCTTTTTATATTTCCCACAAATCCACATATCTCATCATCTTCAACCAAGTAAACTGATTTGGTGATCAAAGACTAACCCGTACATACATACAAAAAGAAAATTCACAGCCAACCGAGCCCAAGAACTCAACCTAACAGGCTGGGTCCGTAACCGATCCGACGAAAAGGCAAGTTACATCTATCTGCATCTGCATCCGGACATTTACATTCCCATCTACATCTCCTTCTACTACCACATTTCCCTACTTAAATCAATCATTCAATCCTTATGATCACCGATCACTCACCGATCATTGCACTAAAAACCCTCTTTAACAACTGACTAACTAACTAACCCCCCTCTCATTTGATTCAAAACTACAGGTCGAAGGAGAAGCCCAAGGAGACGAAACCTCCGTCGCCCAGCTCATGAAGGACTTGAAGAAGGGACCAACGCACGCGCTTGTTTCTAAGCTGGATGTGGAGGATAGAGAGTTGGTGGATGGGGAGTCGAAGTTTGAGGTTAGGAGGGGTTGATTTGATGAGAGAGTGATCCCGACGATAGACACAGCAGGGGAAAGCCGGAACCGGAACCTGAAGAGTTATCTTGAAGCTCCATGGCGGATTATTGAAGGAGGAACAACCTGTCTATGCTGGTGAAGACACCAACCACATATACAAAGACTCCTAAGAAACTCACGAGATAAGATTCCAAGTAAGACTTGTTCATTTCTTCATGACCAGTTAAGTTGATTCATCTCTACCTTGTTACACCAAAAAAAAAAGATAAATACGAACATCATTATGCTTCATATGCTATCCACAACACCGCACCACAACCCAATGTGTTCCAAGCTCCAAACAGTCCACCCGCCCACGATACCTGCCCGTTCATAACTATATACTAACAAAACAGCTCGTTTCCCTGACACCTATAAATTCCAAAGTATTCCCTCCGCCATCATTACTTTTCCATTTTTTTCTCTCTTTCCAGGCTGCTGACCTGTCTCTGGCCACTGCTTTTCCTGTGCCTGTAACCTCTTCTTGCTCTTTCGCCTGCCTCTGTAAAAGCAAGGCTAATAATAATACTGTGAGTGGGTATTGTACTTATTCTTTCTCCCTCTCACTCTTGCAGCCGGGATGAACCATCACTCCCACTATAGATGCAATCCACTAAGCAAACGTCATAGAAATCTCCTTCTCCTTGCCAAAATCGTCGTCGTCATCAAAGTCTGCCCACGGATTATTAGCTGCCGGGAGAACCGGCACCGTCTGCGCTGACTTGATCTCCGGTCTCGCCGGGGCTGAGGCTGATGCCGAAGCTGAAGTCCCGTAGCCTGCTGATGAACTTGTATGTCCATACGAAGACTGCTTGCCGCTGGCAGCACTTGGCTTGGAGCGAGGAGGAGGAGATGCTTCAAAAGCCGTATCAAAAGTCATTTGAATTTCGCTGTCATCGTCGTGCTGGCGACCACCGCCACTGTAGCCGTAGTCATCCGCTCCGAACCCGCCTCCTCCAAACCCACCCTTTCCATGACCAGCGCTGTAATCGTACTGACGAGACGAGCTTGTCGTTGACGGTGGTGGTGGCGAGTTCCAGGCGTTTTCCTCTTTGCGATCGTTTGATAACGAAACGGTGGACTGGTGCCTGTTGTTGTACTCGACGCTCGAGAACCCGCGATACGGCGGCACCGCCCCGAGGCTGGCGCTCCTGGTCTCCCTCAGATGGTCTCGCGAGCCCTTTATTACTGGCGCCGGCGGGCCGAGAGGAAGCTTCATGGGCGGCAGGGTGCTCTTGATCTCCTTGACCCGAAGTAGATCCTCATTAACGCCGGCGCCGCCGTTTTGGGAGGAGCCCCCCTTCTTCTTTTGTTGTTCCTTGGCCTCCTTGGCCAGCTCGGCGCGGATGGCGTCGACGTCGAAGAGTACGCCGTGATTATTACCGTCCTTGTCCTCCGTCTTTCCACCGCTCCCGGAGGCGCTGCCTCCCGCTTTGGCCGAGTCCTCGTAAACTTCCCATTCTTGCCTCTTTGGCTTCTTCTTTTTGAAGAAGCTGAATGCGCCGCCGCTCTTACTCCCCGCTCTTTCCCTCCCCTCCCTTTCGAGCTCCTTCCTCGCCTCTTCAATTTCATTAATGAGTTCGCGTTGTCTTTCCTGATGGTTCTCCGGATCTGGCTCCTCGATTTCGACAAACTCGTCGTTCTCGACCATCCAACCGCATTCACGAAGGAGCCGTGGCATCGCCGTACGGTAATCCATGTGACCCACCACGAACTCCGTGACGTCAAAGTTTTCTATCCCGGCAATCCCCTCGATGGGGGCAAGACCGCCAATGCGCCTGATACCGCCATTGGTTAAACGGAAAAGATACCCCAAGATCCAGTCGTTGCGGTTGTATCCGTTGACGAAGCGACCAGAGACCACGGCACGCGCACGCAGGTATTCATCCGTCTGTACGACAATTGGGCTGCCAAAAAGATAGACGTTTTGGACCAAGCCAAAAGCGCCCTTCCTGGCGAGCTCCTGCAGGCAGGAGTAGATAACGCGGCTACCCAGGGAATATCCCACAAGAGTGACGGGACGGGTTCCCAAGTTGCGGTCAATAAGCGAATCTGCGAGAATGAGACCAGCTGCAGTGGCACGGTCGAGAGAGACAGCCCAGGGGTTGTCGATGAGATAGGAGAGCTTGGTAAGCACGACCGGCAGCTGAATCGCAGACATTAAGCCTATTAGGATGGTACTGCCTAGGAGCTGTTGGAGACCTTGGGTGAGGGCCTAGAGACGAGTTAATACCACTTGCCTCCGTCATGACTCTCGTGTGAAGGACGAGTACTTACCTCTGTAGCCAAGATATTAATGGTATCTCCCATACTGGTCAGCATTTCCGGTTCCCACAGAACCGAGTAAATATCACCCATCAACGGATCCACCGTACTGAAGGGCAACCGGACGTCATCCACCTTGCCCGTCATCCACCCAGACACTGTTACAATTAGATTTACCCGCTTATTGTTGTGTAGCGGTCTATACTCGAATGTCTTGACGGCGCCCGTTCGCCTGTTGGCCGCACGGACACCAATGATGCTACCAGATGCCGCGGCCGAGGACGTGATAATGGCAGCACCTCCGGCGCCAGCAAAAAAGCCGGTTGTACCGCCGACACCAATCGTCGTGAAGCCCGCGGCCAGGCCAGCACCAATCACCGGGGCAAGCAGGCCGGCAGACAAGCCGATAACCAAGCCGCCGCCGACAGTTGCTAGGCCCATCATGAGGTAGCGTTTCTTGAGGGCCATCTTGCGCCGGTTCTCTTTGTGCTCTTCCTCGTTCCAATTCTCCTTCTCAACGGCCTGCTGCATCTCCAGGGCATCTGTCACTTTCTTCTCAAACCGGCAGATGTCACCCCAGGGAATCTCCAGATCCTTGGCGACTCTCTCGAGTAGGGTTCTTGACCTGGCGTCGTAGATAGAATCCGCAACGAGGACGAGGAACAAGTCGCACAGTACCGTCCACCTCAGATCGATATCGATCTTTTGCGAGGTCGGCATCTGCGAGGGCATCCTGACCGCCTCGTCCAGTTCTGACTTATCGTCGATTGAGTACGGCGGCGGAGGTTCGGCAGGTGACTCTGAGTTTGGGGACGGGGGTATCGAGTTGGGACCTGAAGATTTCGACGCAGACGACGTCGAATCTCTTTTGCTTGCTTCGTCAGCCATGGGGTTCTTGACCCTCGCGTTTGCCATTAGCACCGGAGTCAGATCTTGAGGCATAACACCGTGCGCAGCAAGCTGCTCGATCATGATCTGCTCGGCCGGGCTGATGTCCATGTGCGAGTACAAGCGCATCATCATCTTCTGACTCCACATCCTCATGCTCTCCGCGGCGAAGGTGACTTCCTTCTTTGGCTTGCTCCTCCCTTGCTGAAGATCGTCAACCTCCTTCACCATGACCGACAGCTCCAGCCTCGTCAAGCCGACATACGCGATCCTTTGGCCCTCTGTAAGCAACTCCTTGGTAGCTTGAAGTTGGCTGACGGCGTCGCGCTGCGCGTCGTCTTCCTCTGCCACGCCTGTGCCTCCTCCTGGGTCTTTGAATAGGTACTGGGTGTTCTCGTCCATGCTGGTCTGGGACTCGGCGTCGTCGTCGAGGAGGACCCTAGTGTATCCCTTGCCTGCGCCACCTAGTCCCTCGTACTGGACCTTCTCTTCCTCTGACTCGTCGTGTTCTCGCGCGATCAGCTTGTTGTCGTCATCGTAGATGTCATACGGCGCATATGCCGGCATTTCCTGCCATTCGTCGTCCTCGTCTTTCTTCTTCTCCTCCGAGGGCTGGTTCAGTGTCAGCTGTTGATGGGAGAAGCCAGACGTGCCGGCTACGCCAAGAGCCCTGGCGCCTCCCATGCTAGTCTCGCGCCTATGGCCCGGAGGAAGCTCTTGATCTTTCCTGACTTCGGCTATGGCCAAATCTTGGTACTTGGGTGGCTCGTTCGCTGCTACCGGCTTCTTCTCCGACGCGACTGTTGACTTGGCCTCTGTTGATGGAGGTTCGGACGGCATCTCCGGAGCTTTCGAAGTGGAGATGCTCGGATTCCGTAGGGCTGTCGAGGATCCGCCTTGTTGTTTACAATGTTCGTGTCGAGCATCTGAAGAGAGTTGCGGCGCCTGCGCATCGCTGTTTCTGTTCTCGCAGTCCATATCGGGCTTGTCGGATTTGTGGCTGCTACTTAATGCCATGTTTGGTTCCTTTTTCTCTGAACTTTTATCTGTCGCCGTCGTCTTCCCGTGGTACTTCGGGATGGGCAAGCCGAAGTCGTCGAGCTCGGGCGGTTCTTGGACGGGCGCGGCAGCGTTACCGGGTTGTGACACGGCTGGGGCACCAGTTGCCGAGGCTTGTTGGTGGTCGTCGCCAGCCGGGCCTGCACCGAGTCCCGGCATGGCGTGTGTCTTTCACGTACTCGGTCACTGTGATGAATTGGTCGCGGCCCAAACACGCTTGTTGGGCTGTTCCGCTGGCCGGAGTCCAAATATGAAGTTGATCGAATTGGGAGCAACCGTTGACAGGCGCAATAAGTCGGATGATGGGAGGGGAAGGTTGAGACCGGCGGGGTCTGTACTCTGGACGAGATGGCGTTCTGTCACGGGAAGCGTAGGTGTGTCGGGTTGATGCGGTGCGTTTCAAAGGAATGGGCAGCAACTGGGCGCAACCACCTGCACACATCGACATTTTGTAATGGCCTGTCACTTCCGCTTGGGGTGGAGGTACGTATGCTGCCCACTGCAGACTCCCCACCATTACCCCTGTCTCAGGTTTACACTACAAGTTAGGGGCAGGGGGGCTGGAGGGGGGTTGTTACTGATACGCGTCGCCTGAAATTTCCAGAGAATCAACAACACAGACGCTAAACAACTTTGGTCCTCAATCCACCGTACTCGTACGCCGGTCATCCCTGAATTCGCTTGAAATTCTACTTGATCCTGCCCTACCTAAAAAGCGCCTCAAGTACAACTCCTTGTAGGTACACCTTGGTCTCCCTTCGGCCTGAGTGTCCCCCCCACCTGTCTTGGCCTGGCGACGCCGCACCACATGCCAACAGACGGCCAGTTATCCATGTTGCTCTTCATGGTCCGACGCTTTTGCAATGTCGGATTTCTCGTCCCTACTCAATGGTCGTGATACCAGTAATCCGTAAACCGAACAGTAGTAGACAAGGTATACGGTGGCGTCGACATCTGTATGCTTGGTATCGTATGAGTAGACGATAGTGCCATTGGCCGCCCAAGACAATGCGATCCCATGGCTCACGCCACGGATTCACAAAAAGCCGATTCCAACGGTCTTTGTCGTAGCCCTGTCATCCGCACCCATAACCCGTGAAATAACCGACTTGTAACACCGTTATTCAACACCTAATGGAGGAAATTCACTCCTCACTAACAGCGGCCGTTTCCCCCTGGCCGGCCGACTGCTCCCCACCCTCCGCAGCGCCGGCGCCGGTCTTTTTGCGCCTCTTCCGCTTAGCCTTGCCCTCGGCTGTCGATTCCGCATTCGTCTCCGCGGGTTTCTTCGGTTTTTGTTGATCTGATGGCGATTTCTTCTTCTTGTCGGCTTCCTTCTTGGCTTTCTTCAAGGCCAGTGGATTTGGCTGTTTGGGGCCGTAGTTCTTCTTTTTCTTCTTCTTCTGCGTCTGTTCCTGTTCCGCGGAACCGGCAGCGTCCGGGGCCCCATCTGTCGACTTTTCCTTCTGGACTTCCTCGCCCTCGCTGTCGGAATCGCCTTCGGAGTCTTCTTCGCCTTCGTCGCCATCCTCTCTCTTCCTCTTCAGTGTCCTTCTGATGATACCATCCTTGAACCTGTAGACTGTGTTAGTAGAGCGTTCGAACGGGTCGGGTGTTTGGCAATTGGTGATGACTTACTTTTGACGCTCCTCTCTGTCTCTGATTTGCTGTGATGCGTCGGACATGGGCTCAAGGATCATGACACTCCTGCGGCAGTACATGAGTGGCGTGGGCACCACCGACCTCAACCTGTGTCTCTGTTGAAAACAAACAAGTTAGCAACACGCCTCTTAAGCTCACAAAAAAAGTTCCCTTCCATCTAAGAATATCTTGATCTCCAACCCATTAATGAACTTACCAACCACTCATCATTACTCGCCACCACATAACGGAACTTGTTCTCCCCTTTGCCCTTGGGGTCGACAACCGAGAGCATGCACTCGCGCTCGGTAAGGGGGTCCTGGTCCATCAGATGGCCGCACCGTCTCCTCTCGAAGGTCTTGGCGCGCTCGATGGCAGCTGGGACGTTCGGGTCCCTGTCAGGGCCGGGCTTGTTCTTTGCGTACAGGGCGCGGATGCAGCACTGGGTGATCATGGGCTTGATGTCCTTGGTGTTGAGCGTCTTCTGGAACAGGTTCATGACGTCGAGCTTGACCGTGTCGAGCACGATGTCGCTGGTCAGGAGCAGCTGATAGGGCTGGCGGAAGCCGAGCTGCTCGAAGGAGCGCATCAGCTTCTTGTAGGCCTTCCTGCTCTTACCCATTGTGAGAGTGTTGCCGTGGCTGTGGTTGTTGTGGGTATTTTAGGTTGACCGATGGGGGCTTGGTCGTCGCCGGGAGGAAGGTTGAACAACCAAATCTGACGAAGGGAAAAGTGGAAAGTGAGATGTTGTATGAGTAGGTAGTGAAGTGATAAAGGCCCACCCTCGTCTGTCGGTTCGATGTCGAAGGCAAAACTGAGAGGCGACAAGAGAAGATCTGAAAATGACCCAAATCTCTCAAGAAGCCACAAAAGAGAATGACCAGATAGTCTCTAGTCAAATACCGAAGTCGTCCTCAGAAAAAGACACGAAAAAGTCGGTCAATGGTCGTTGTTTGGTCCAATCTACCCTTCACTGCGAGTTCTTCATAAACTTTCAAAACTCACTTCCTAGAAAAATTTCCAGGCAGGCAATTGGCCCAGGGTGTTGAGGTAGGTTTAGCTGGTCCAAGCGTAGTGCGGCCCCATCTCTTTAGCGGTGAAAAAGGCCACTTTTGTACACCCTCCACAGCAACTTTGCGGTACTCTTAGACTAACAGTTGAGCCCCTAGGTTTGGCTGCTACAGCGACACATTAGTGATATTCGCCGAGTGACTAGGAGTATCGAAATGGTAGCATTGGGTTATCCAGACTTATCCATTGGCTTGACACCACTGCGTGTACAAAAGTGGCCTTTTTCACCGAAATCGGTATTCCCGTAGACCAGAAAAAGTATTCCTTTAGACCCGCCTCATATATTCTTGCACGTGCACTTGCCCAGCCGCTAGAAGCGCGCCTACACCGCCGTACAACTGAGGCTACCAAATCGAGGCCTGCGTATCGCTAGATCTACGTCGTTAGCGTTATTTTTTTACATAAAGTTATTTAGAGTTATTAATCCAATTAATTGTTTACTACGGAGGGTATTAATACGGTTATTGCTATTGCAACTACTATCCCCTATACTAATTCTATTACTTACTCTAAGGTTAATGCCCGCCGTATATATACTTACCCTAATTTTAATACCCGCCGTATAAGTACTACCTAAAGTATTAGGGAAGCGGTTGGAGATTTACCCTCTCGTTTAAATCCCCCAACGCCTATCCTCTACCCCGTATAAGTACTAGAAGTAGTACTATAGTTATAGGGGTTTAATTATATTATATTATTAATATAACGTAGCCTTATAAATTATACTATAGTTAATTAGAGGGAGGAGGAGCGAGCTCTTTAATTGGGTCTCTAGGAGGCGCCCAAGTAATAATAGAATTAATTAGCCTAATATAATAATTTATAATACGAATTATAAGAGTCTCCCTTATTTCTAGCCGGGTAAGTATATAACCCCCTAGTTTAACCGTATTTAGTACCCAATCCCTATACTAATTCTAATGACAGCCCAAATTAGGGATAGGAAATTTAAACGGCTATTTAATAACCGCTAGCACCCTATAACTAAATTGGCTAGGCTTAGCAAGAGTTAATATATAGTCGGAAGACGGCTATTACTAAATTTAAGGATAGGGAAATAGGGAGGGCGCTAGAGCTCTCTATAAAAGAATTAGAATTTTAAATAGCGAGGGCGAAGGGGCTAGAATTATTTGTAGGAGTATTAAAAAAGGCGCTAGCGTTAGTGCTAATATAAATCGAACTATAGCCTCTGCAATAGCGTTATTTAAATCCTCTCGAATAATTTGGTTCGTTTATTATTAAATCCCTCCTCTACTTCTAATTCGAAACTATCTCTAGCGGACTAGCGCCCTCCCTTCTCTCTAAATATTTCGCTATATTATTCGGCGGGGAGGCTCATTGTAAGAAAGTATACGATAATTATTATATTTATCGCAGTCGATAGGTTAGGATTGAGCAAATTAAGTAAATAAAGTATAATTACCTTTAAAATTACGTAATTCGTTAATTTTTAAATTAATAACTTTCTATACCGATATCCTTCGTATATAATTATATACGTTGGGGTCGAAGAATATAGCTTTCTAACGGCGCCCAAGTAATATAATTAGATCTCTAATAGTGAAGCTACGTTTCTTATCCTTATTTAATTTATTACTTCTATTAAACGTTAACTACTAGTATTTATCTACGTTAGTAATAAACAATGCCCGATTTTACTATAATAAATTTATTATTAAATATTTATAAAGAAAGCTATATTACCCTATAAACTCCTTCTTCTATTTAATATGGGGACTTTACCCTAATTCTCGAATCTAATTATTATAAATATATTAGTACTATAGCTATATTAATTTTAAAATGAAGGACCCTACTTTTATTAAAATATTATTAAAAAGACTAATTCTTTTATATTTATATAAAAAGTTAATTTTCGCTACTACTAAATTTATATAATATCGGTCTTTCTAAATAATATACGTATTCTTAATATAATTATATAATTAATTAAAAGACGAGAGACGGTTCTTAAAAAAGCGTTTAATAACTCTATAAATGAATTCGATTTAATTAGTTGCCTTAATACTATAGTTTCTATATTTCGAAATAACGTAATTACTAAACTTATTAATTTATAAGAGGTAATACTTATAGAAGTAGGCCAGTAATAATATTATAAATTAATTAAGAATAAAGTATATAATATATTATAGAGATTTACGGGTTTGCTATTTAAATTTATAGTATAATAATAATTATACCTTCTTAAAATAATCTTTATTGTTAGCGTATACTATTTACTTCTAGGCATTTTAGAAGGCTTTATATAAATTTTAATAGAATTGACAAATTAGATTAAAAGCGGGCACTATTTTATAACGTAGCGGGGGTATAATAGTATTATTATTACTATTATTATTTTCCTCTTTATTACTTCGTTACGTAACCCGGTTAGCGGCGGCGGTATTATCTACCTCATCTAAGCCGTTATTGCCTTCGTTGTAATTAATTTACTCTTCGTTAGCGGAGTTGTTATTTTAATCATTTTAGGCGCCCTTGTATAATAGAGGATCAGGATTATCGCTATCTAGACTCCGGACTATTAGCGGGAAGATTATATAATCGACGCTAGGAGTAGGATTATTACTAACCGACTATATTTACTTTAGTTTAATATAATAATTAATATTCGTTATAATATACTATATATAGAATTAGTAAAGTACATTTAATCATATTACTATAGTAGCCTTCTTAAATCCCCTATAGAAATTGTTTATAAGGATAACGGGGTTAGTAATATTGTAATTTCGTTAGAAATTCTTAAAATAATAAAAATACTGTACGAAGTCCTCTTTTATCTCCTTATTTAATAAACCGAAAGCAATATTAAAATTATAGCTAAGGGAGTTAATACCAATAATATTAAAAAGGGGAAGGTTAAAGCGGTTAATTTATAAGGAAAAAAAAAGGGTTAGTTAAAGACACTAAATAATTAATAAGAGTAATAATACCTTATATATATTATCGACTAGTAAGATATAGGGGCTCTACTTCTATATTTTAATATACTAATTGAAAGTTCAAAATACCCTCCTAACCTAACTACTCTAGTTATATTCAACCTCGTAATCGATATAATATTTAACTTTATATTACTCTAAAGGGTTAATAAGTATTTTAATCGTCATATAAAGACTATACTTTTATTTACAAATAGCCTTCTAAATATTTAAAACCTTTTTGATGCCGGATTGACTGTATTCTTAGATTTCTTATTATAACCATTAGAGTTATAACTAGGAAGGTTAACCATGCCTCCCCGGCAGGCACCCTGCCTGCCGGGCTGGTATGCTAGCCGTATTTATATATAGCTGCGGGTCGCTAACCTACTTTAAATTAGATAAAGAAGCGACGCGCGACTAGGCATATTAACCCAATCGTTGGTCCAGCTTTTTAAGCCGGACCTTCTTCCTTTTATATTATACTTTTAATTATAATATTTATATATAATTTAGAGTACGCTATTATATAGTAATTATAACGATAATATTGAGCCCCCCGGTAATTGATTGCAATTTTCGAAGTATTAATTCTAATAATTAAATAGATTTGCGCGCTTATAATAGTTTTCTTTAAGAGGAATTAGGTGAGTTCGGATTTATTATTATGTTAAAGGTCGCCTTTGGTGAATTTAAAATAATAAAATTTCGCGACGGTAATATTCTTCGAACGAACTTTAGTACTTATACCCTTATTTATTTATACGATTAAATTCCCTATTTTTTAGTTTACTAAGATGTATTGTTAATATTTAGATCCGGATTTGTCTAAATTTATTTAATTAATTTTAATGTTAAGGGTTTCCCCCTAATAATTATTGTCATGGGGCTAAGGCCCAGGCTGTGGCGCTCTGGTTATTGATTAGAGCTATTATAAGGCGCCGTGGCTGTATCTATATAACTCCCATTAAAACCACGCATTTCCGGTAGAACCGCCTCTCAAATAAAACTTTCCTTCTTTATAGAATTTCAATTAAGCTATACAACCAGTACCTATATTAATTATACTATCCCTATTATATTAGGTTCTATCTTAATAGACTTAATGGAATAGGATGAATAGCCGTTATAATAGTAATAATAAAACTTACCTACCTAAATAGCCGTAGAAGGAATTCTCGTAGAATTTTCCGCTGCTATAGCCGCCGTAGCCGTAGAATAAAAAGAAGTTGCAAAGAGAGAAACTATACGCTTCATACGAGAGAAGGAAGATTTCGCTAGGACGCTATTTATTAGCGATATATTTGCCTAAATAATAAAAATAACGCTCAATATATAATTTACTATTTAAAATTAATAGAACCTCTTTAATATTAATACAACTACTATAACAATTATTATTACCCCGAACGCCGTAGTAAATATTATATATAAAATTATTCCTTACTATAATTTTAAATATAAGAATATCGTTAGCCGAAATAGGATAAAACCCTTTCTACGTTTAATTTCTATATTATTCGATTACGTTTTATATGTAAAGAAAAAAAGTCAGCGGGAACTATTATTAACGATAAATCGGGTTGGTTAATACTATTAAACGCCCTCCCAGCCGATAAAATAATTAAAATAGAAGCCTTTTAACGCTATAATAGTATTGATAATACTTATCAACCCAAGGATTTCTTTAATTATTTTAAATTATTTTTTAGTAAT